AAACAAAAAAAAAAAAAAAAAAAAAAAAAAAAGAAAGAAAAAGAAAAACCACAAGCTGTCAGCAGAGCCCACTGGGTGAGCTGGGAAGTGTCTCCCAAACCCAAACCTAGTTACGGGGCTGGGTCAGCCGTGGCTGAGAGCTTTGCTTGCAAGAATTAACTTAGAGCCAATGACAGTCCATCTGCATTGGCCCCATGTTGCTCAAGAGAAACTGAGGCCCTGAGAGGTGTAGTCACCTGCCCCGGGCCACGCAGGGAGACTGCACAGGGCTGATGCCTGGTGCAGCAGATTCTCTTAGGGAGGGGGACACTGGTGGGGGCACAGAGATCACAGTTGTGAAAACTGAACATGAGGGAAAACTTCAGTTTACATCAGAGCAGCCTCGGCTGGGCTCAGTGCCATGGGAGCTGTTGGGGAGGCCTTCGGGGCGGCAGTGGGGACGGGAGGAGAGACATTGTCTGCAGCAGCAGGTTTCCTCAGTAAATCCCACTGATGAGATGGCTGAGCCAGGAGGCCACGCAGTCCCCATGGGATGTAGAAGACCCTGCCACAGCCACGCCAGCGTGCGACATCCCACGGACACGTGCACGATCCCAACACCGCAGAGGTGTTCAGGGATCCTCAGGGAGCCTCGGAAAAGGCCAGGCACTGAAGTCAACAGTTCTTCCCAACATTTCGTCTGTTTTTTTTTTTTTAAATATCTTTGTTGTTGTTTTTGAGACAGGGTCCCACTCCTTACTCTGGGTTGATCTTGAACTTGAGGCGATACTTCTGCCTCAGCCTCCTGAGTGCTGAGGTTCCAAGCATGCGCCACCAGGCCTGGCTTTATTCTTGCGGTACAGTGAACTAAACCCAGGGCCTTCGTGCTGAGCTAGATCCTCAGCCCCTTTTAATTTTTATTTTTGAGGCAGAGTCTCACGAAGTTGCCCAAGCTGGGCTTGAACCTGCGATCCTCCTGTATCAGCCTCCTAGAGTGCAGGGATGGCAGGTGGTGCCACCACGCCCAGTCTGCTGTGTCAGGTGGCCTCACACTGAGCGTCCCTTTCTGGAATCAGTGACCTGATACCAGGATCCCTGACTCAGCCTCGTGACCCCTACACCTTGAGGTGATCGCCGTCACCACTGGGGCGGCGCAGGGCCCACGCACCTGTCCAGCTCCTCAAAGAGCTCGCGCACGGTCATGGCGGCCACGATGGTGATGGCGTAGGGCAGGCAGCCGTGCTGGCAGCTGAGTGCTAGCATTTTGGCACAGCGGGGTGCCACAGGGAAGGTGGCCATGGTCCTGCCCAGAGCCGTGATGGGGCAGCTCAGGCGCGACTTCTGCAGCTGCTTCACCCTGAGGACGATGGAGGCTGCGGTGGGCGGGCGCCCCGGGGTGGGGTGATGCCTAGCCCTGCTTCCCCCAACCCCACTTGCCTTTGTGTTTTTGGGGGCACCTGCAGAGCCCCCAGTGCAATCAGCAACTCCTCAGCTGCCACCAGGGCCTCCAGGGAGGGCGGAGTTGGGAACGGGAAGTTGATGACCTGGGATCAGAGGAGGAGGCGGGGACCAGTAAGCACCCCAGCACAGGGCTGGGCAGCCAGGAAGTGGGTAGAAGCCCCTGCATGCACTTGACACTGGTCCACCTGGGCACCCAGGAGTGCACTGGGGCTGCAGGCTGGTGCCAGGGCCCGTGGGTCGCAGGAGAGCCCGGCTGGGCAGGGACACCAGGGACCCCTCCTCTGTGTTGACTGCATGCCAAGCCTGGCACCGACTCACACGACCACAGTCGGCTGCCTTTCTCTGCAAGTGGTGACGGCACCAGAGACCCCAGGGGGAGAACGGGCACCAACGCCGTCAGCATCATCGGGGATGCTCTGCACGTCACCGTGTAATGGTTCAAATGCAGAATGGCCCCAAATACTCCTGAGTGTGGAAGGAGATGAATCTTGGGCTGCTCCACTCCCTGGGGAGGTCAGCCAGGGCAGGACAGTTGGGGCTGAATGTGCTGTTAGGAGGGGCCGGGCTGGAAGGGTCCCTGGGCGGAGCCTGGAAGGGGCACCTCCCTCCCAGCTCTTCCCCTCTGCTTCCTGTCCCCCATGCCACAGCGGCTCTCCTCCGCCAGGCCCCTCTGCCATGCTGCTTCTGCCTAGAGTCAGCTGACCACGGGCTGGACAAATAAACCTCTCTTCCTTCAGGTTGTATGATGCATCCCAGGGAGCGAGAGGGACCGAGACCCAGGTTGACCATCACAGGCTCAGGACGCCTCTTCCACCCGAGGATGGACTCAGAGGATGAAGTCCTGGCCAGGCTGGACTTGGTAGGACCTTCTGCCTGGCTGGGACCCAGGGGCCCAAGGGGGGCCTTGAGGAGAACATGGTGGAGCGGGAGACCGCCATGCCCCGCCAGAGGCCGCCGCGTCAGCAGGCAGCAGGGACCCCATGGGGACAACCACTGACCTTCTCGATATTGAGAGCCTTCATCTGCAGGACCAAGTCCTCCACCGGCCTCCGGGTGATCTCCGGAGGAGGGAACTGCTCAAAGTCACTGAAGACGGCAGAGGAGTACAGCCTGGGGCAGACACGCGGCCGTGAGCTCAGAGACGCCCTGCCTGCCACCTGGTCCTCCTCAGCTGAGTCGGGCTAAGACGGGACAGGCCGCGTGGTGCCAGCCATGGCACTGCTTCCCCGTCCCCTCCCTGTCTTCTCTGGTTTCCTGTCCAGTGCCTTAAACAGCATGGAAATGAACAGCAGCAAGGCCGGGAGCAGAGTCGGCAGCGCCAACACCTACGTCACCTAAGGAGCACTCACAAACCGACGTGAGGAGGCCAGCGAGCAGCAACCCCAACACTCTGGGAGAGAGCCGGGAGGGCCGAGCTGAAGCCCAAGCTGGGCAAGGTGGGGACTTTGTGAGACCTGTCTCAAAAATACACTCGATCTTAGCCAAAAGGCCGAGAAGCGATCCTGTCTCAAAAATAGAAAGGGCTGGGGATGGAGCTTAACAAAGGTCCCGCGGTCAATTCCCAGTACCACAGAGCAGTTTAAAGTCTTGGAAAGCAAGGGAGAGAACTGTGTCTGAGGAGGGGGTGAGTGACCTCTCGCGTAAGCTGGTGACAAACGAAGTGGCACTGCGCAGGGCCTGCTCTGCAGGGTGGCCAACCGCCGGCTCTACAGGGAGTGTGGCACAGCCGGCGCAGTGGGGCCGGGGCCCACCTGTAGCAGTGGCCGGGCTCTGTGCGTCCCGCTCGGCCCGCCCGCTGGTCGGCAGCCGCCTGAGAGATCCAGGTGACGCAGAAGGAGGACACGCCGGTGACGCGGTCGTGGCAGCGCCTCTTGACCTTCCCGCAGTCCACCACGTACTTGACGCCGGGGATGGTGAGGGACGTCTCGGCCACGTTGGTAGCCACGACACACAGCCTGGTCCCCTCCGGGGGAGGCCTGAAGACCTGGGGTTTAGGGGGAAGCAAGCAGCAAGGTCCAGAGCGCTGGGGGCCGAGGGGCAGGGCAGGGACACTGGCCAGGGCTGGAGCCACCCAGCCGCCCCCACCCGGCCACACATGGGGAGGTCTCTCCTCCGCAGCACCCCAGCCCGGGTCAGTGGTAGACGGAGCGGACAGGGAGGGTGCCTGGGCTGCCCGTGGGCCATACCTGCGCCTGCTTTTCGGGAGCCAGCAGGGAGTAGAGTGGCAGCACATGCAGGGGCAGCGAGGTGTCCGGCCGCTCACCTGCAGTGGCAGAGATGCTGGCACCCTGGGCCCACAGCAGCTACGCTGGGGCGATTCCACCACCGCCCTGGGGTGCCTCACACTGTCTGGGGTGCGCACTGTGACTGCTGCCCCCGGCCCCAGGTGTCGGACACCCCACAGCCAGCTGAGGCCCCTGTCCCAGTTGCTGGCAGTTGGGGACCAGCGGCGCCTGCACAGCCACGAGCCTTGGCTGCTTCGTGGGCTCCAGCTGGATGCAAAAATCACAGAATTCTCTTCTGTATTCCTTCTGTTTACAACATGGTCTCGCTATGTTACCCAAACTGGTCCCCAGTTACTGGGCTCAAGAGAACTTCCCATTTCAGCCTCCTGGTAGCTGGGGCTCCACATGCCAACACCACTGGGCTCGGCCTATGCCAAACAGCGAGGGGCTAGGCCCAGCTGCATAGGCAGGAGGCTGCACATCAGGCTCTGCTCCCGCACAGGGGACCCCAAGACCCTCCATGTGACCCTACTGGGGTCCTGCCCAGAGCCCACTGCTCCGCCCAGCAGCCGAGGAGCCACACACGGCTGCTGTGGGCAGGAACTGGGGCCGCACTGTCCCCGTGGCAGGGATAGCAGCTGCGTGCGGAGGGTGGGGCTGCACCTCCATCTGCCCTGGCGTCGTCACCCAGGTCCAGGTCCAGGTCCAGGTCGGAGCCCAGGGCCTCCTCGTCGTCCGCCTCCGCCTCCCGGTCCTCATCTGCCTTGCCCACTGGCAGCACTGAGTAACTGTCCAAGCTGATCTGGGGCAGCATCTGCAGGCGACAGGACAGGGGCTGGTGTGAACCCCGCTGTGCCTGGGAGGGGGGGCACTGTGCCACTGGGCGGGTGCTTCCTCAGGGATCCCCAGGCTCAGGTTCATGGGCCTGGCCTGCCCTCCAGTTGCACCTCGAGCTCCAATCCTGCCGGGCGGGCTGCCCGGTGTCCCAGGACATTAGCCGCGTTTCTGACCTAACCCTTCCAACAGCACCACCCAGCGCCCTCTGCGTACCTCCACGCGAGCCTTCTTGGCCGTTGCTCGAGACTTCTTAAACTTCCGCATCTCCTCGGCAGAGTCCTTGTCTTCCCCCACACCTGCAAAGGTGAGCGCTGGAGGAAGACGCCCAGGGCAGTGCGGCGACCGCACTCTGAGCGAGGCTGCAGCAATGCTGACCCCAGGGATGGGACAGGCCCACCAGTGCCCAGGGGCTCAGTTACCTGGTGGCTGTGACCTGGAGGTGGGAAAGGCCCTCCGGAGCCTGCGGCACAGGGCATGCACCTCCGCCTGCCCTGTCAGGAACACCAGGATGCCGCCTGTAGAAAGAACCACCCCGCATCATCCATTACTCATTCAGCAAACACTTAGCAGAGTCAGCAACAACCAGGAGTCAGGACCACGGAGACACGGGTGCAGCAGGATGCTGGCAGCACGGGACCAGTGGTGCACAGCTCCAAGGTGCCCCTGGGCAATGCCTCTGCCCTGCTCTGGGGCTGGAGGCTGAGCGGACTCCACCTCGGCCCAGGTGCTGCACGCTGACACCAGGCCTGTCCTGATGCCACAAGGGCCTCACCTGCGGGTAGCATGCGGTGGATCTTGCACACCTTTCGGAAGCACTCGCCACTGTAGTCCTCCCACGGCGTGCGCTTATTGAAGTGGACGGTCACCGGGAACTGCCGTGACTCCACCTGCGGGCAGTCACCCGACAGCTCGGCCCCTCGGCCCCTCCCTGCCACCCCAGCCCGGCCTCTCCCCAGCGGGATGCTAGGCCCTGGTCACCTTGATGATGGGCGGCGGCTGGGCGAAGAGCCGCTGGTTCTGTGTGAAGTCCTCCACCCGCAGCGTGGCCGACATGATCAGCAGCTTCAGTGGCCGCCGCCTCTGAGGACGACAGGGCTCTGGCTCTCAGGGCGCGGCCATCCAGGGGCTGTCACGTGCCCAGAGCTGAGCTCACGGAAGCCTTCGGGGCACAGGAGGACTGAGGGGGCCCCGCCCAGCCCAGGGACACCAGACCCTGCCAGACCTGAGAGGCACATCCAAGACCACGAAGAGACGGGATGTGATGCCCTTAAGGACAAGGACATGGGAATGGAAGAATGCCAGGTGGGCCGTGACAGGAGGGAGACCCAGACGGCTGGGGCCTGGGACTGCGGCAGCCGTAGTGGACTGCAGGGTCCGACTGTGTCGCGGGGACCCAGCCACTGCACGGCAGAGCCCAGCTCCAGGCACAAGCCAGCTGCCCGTGGCTACCTTGGCACGCAGGGCCACGATGCGTGACAGCAGGCCGATGAGGATGTCGGTGTACACGCTCCGCTCGTGGGCCTCGTCGATGATGACCACCTTGTAGTTCAGCAGCAGGAAGTCCTGGCAAGGGAGTCTCGTGAGGCCCACCACCCAGGCCTCGGCCCTCCTGCCTCTACCTCCTCCTATGAGGTGGGGACAGCAACCTCACAGCCCGGGGCCACAGAGAGCTCTGAGCACGGCTATCGCTGGTAATGGGAAAGCAGGGCCAGGGCTGGGCAGGGAATGGGAAAGTCAGGTGCACAGGCCACACAGAAAGGGTTCCCCGGAACACTGAGGTCCAGGAGGTCCAGTGACCTCACGCGGCCAGCCAGGAGCAGGTGTGCTCGCTAGACTGCCTCCCTCTGGGCCCTGCACGTCACCCTGTGTGCTGGCTGGCCACATCCCGGAGCCCTCAGAAGCTCCTGAGGGACAAGGGGCCGGCCAGGGAGGAGGGACTTGTCTGGTGGGGCCCGACCCTTGAGCCAAGCCACATGAGAAGCTAAGCCCACGTCTAATGGGTTCCCTCAGTGAGCCGCGCCCAGTGGCTGTCCTGCATGACATCCCTTCCACACCAACACATGTGCAGGAGGATGACACCACAGTGTGGATCAGGGCACAAGGCGCAGGTCCGCAGCAGGCATAGCACAGGTGGCACCCACTGGCCACAGCAGTGACAGACTCTCCCACGCACACCATCCTGTGTGGTGATGCAGCACGGCACCGACCCTCTGGATTTCCTTGAGCAGCACACCATCCGTCATGAACTTGATCCGGGTCTCCTCGGTCACGTTCCCCTCGTAGCGGATCTGATAGGAGACAACCCTGCAGGGACAGGTGCGGGCTCTGAGCTCTGGGGGTGGAGGAGGCTGGGCTCGACCCAGGGCAGCACCAGTGCCTCCACCACAGGCGAGGGTGCTCCCCGGGACTGCAGAGCCTCGTCAGGAGAGCAGGAAGGGCCTCCCTTCATCCAGAGCCTCGCAGCCCTGAGTAGACAGCGACACAGTCAAGGGCCAGAAGACTGGGGCTGCCACCAAGGCAGCTGGGGACGCAGGGCCACCACAGCACTCTTTACACTTGCTAGTGAGCCTGGGAATTTTATGGTCAAGGGATACATGTGGGGATGGGGGTGTGGCTGAGCAGAGAAGGTGCTCAGCATGTGCAAGGTCAGGTTCTGCCCAGCACACAGAAACACACACAAGAGAAAGTTGGGGGGCGGTGCACAACTGTAATCCCAGCAGCATGGGAGGTTGAAGCAGGAGGACTCCAAGTTCAAAACCAGCCTGGGCAACTTGGCCAGACTTTGCCTCAAAATAAATAATAAAAAAAGGCTGAAGAAGTAGCTCGCGCAGAGGCCCTGGGTCCTGTCCCTGGCACTGCAAACACACAGGAAATGTGCACCCCAGCAAGTGGGGGCACTCACTGCCAGGAGAGGCTTTTGTGGCTCTGATGGACCCTGGCAATTCTAAGTGGCTCTGTGGCTGCCTGCACATGGCCACCTGCTCTGTCCGAGCTTTGCCCGTGTGATGTGAGCTCTGGCTTGGGGAGGCCGTGAGGTCTAACTTGCCACCCCACCCTCCCAGCCTGCAGGCCCTCACCGCTGTGACAGGTTCATCTCCTTGGCCACTCTCTGGGACATGGCCACAGCGGCCACACGGCGAGGCTCCGTGACGCCAATGATGCTGTCATCGCTGGGGAGGAAAACAACACTTCAGCCATGTGGCCACACCCAGTCCCAGCATCTGTGGTTCTGATAGACGACGATCCATGAGGGACGAGATAGGAAGTGGACAGTGTGAGGCAGTGTGGCCAGGAGCGGCAGAAAGGAGCCGCTCGCTGGACAGCAGGGCGCAAGAGACACCAGAGTCTGTCTCCAAGAGGAGGAAGCCGGGGACGGAAAGTGACATGAGGCTGGATGCTTCACCACCTGTGACGGAGGACGAACTGGGTAAACGTGGATGGAGCCTGGGAGCAGAGACCAGAAGGTCGCTACCCTGGGCCACAGCAGTGACCAGCGCATGGTGTCACACAACCCGGGGACTGGTGCAGAACAGCAGGACTCAGGGCTGCGCTGCACTCTTCCTGTCTATCCGCATGGTTTCCAGATCAGAAGCTCTTGGTGAAATGAGAAGTGGAGCAGGGAAAAGCACACTCAGTGCACGGCGCTTGGATAAGAACAGAATCTAACTGCAGAGCTCGGATGGGGAGGGGGAGGGAGGGACGCTGTGACAGGCAAAGTGCAGGGAAATCCAAGGTTCTGCGGGCGTCTCTGTGCGATCAGCGGCAGGTTGGTTCATTTCAGGACCACTGCTCAGCCAGGCGTGGTAGCATAGCCTGTAAGCTCGGAAGCCCAGCACCAACTGAGGCAGGAGGATCACTTCGAGTTCAAAGCTAGCCCAAACTGCAGAGCAAGACCGTGTCCCAAAAAATAAACAAATAGGGCACAAGGTCCTGAGTTGAATCCCCGGTACCAAAAAAAAGAATACAAAGAAAAATTGAAAATAAACAAGTACAGCTGGGTGTGTTGGCACACGCCTGTAATCCCAGCACTGGGAAGGCTGAGGCAGGAGGATCGCTGTGAATTCGAGACCAGCCTGGGCTACATGGTGAGTTCCTGGTCAGTCTCAACTACATAGTCAGACCCTGTCTCAAAAAAACAAACAACAAAAAAAGAAAATAAACAAGTAAAATTTAGAAGCTGGTGTTGAGTGCTGTTCAAGCTTCCGAGGCGGACCCCGCCTCCTGCTCTACGGGGCAGGCTGGGCTTAGAGGGCAGAGCTGCCCCATGGTCCCACAGCAGGCAGAGGATGCAGAGACTGCCCTGCAGCCCCTGGTCCCTCTTCCCAGCTGTCCCCCTCCCCTCTGAACAGCTGATACCTGACCCCCAGGGCTCCAGAGGCAGGGACTGGGCTCGAGGTAGGAGGGCTGGAGGAACCCATGCGCAGGATGACACAGCACTGCAGACATGCGGCCCTGCTGGGTTGGTGGCCGCCTCAGGCTGCGTCACCACTCTGGGCAGAGCCAGGTGGGTGCCAGGCCGCCTGTGCCAACAGGAGGGAGCGCTGCTTCCCTCTGGGCTCAGGGGCCATGGCTCCCACCAGCAGGGCAAGCCCTGAGCCCCCACAAAGCCTCCTGAGAAGCGTGGCCTACACATGCCTCCCTCCACCCTGGCCGCTCCCCAGTGGACCACGCTGTGTCCCTGCACTGTGACCACGAGTTCTCTCCGCAAGCCACGGAACCTGCTGTGGCCTTGGGGACCCCAACACTCACGGACCCAAAGGCCAGGAGGGGCTGCACGGGGACGCCCACAGCACCACTCCCGGTGCCAGCTGTGGCCTTAGCACTGTGTGCAGATCTGCCTGCTGCACCTCGTGATGTCCTGGTGCCATCCACACCGTGGCTGAGGGCACCGCAGCCCAGGGCAGCGCACCTGAAGCCAGTATGGAACCTGGACTTTGTCCCCAGAACCCTAGGCTCTTAGCAACCTTTAGGGACCAACAGCCTCGCTGTCCCAGGCCCTACCTGCTGTAGCCGGCCTCGTACAGGAACTGGGGCACCTGCGTGGTCTTCCCACTGCCCGTCTCGCCGCACACGATGACAATAGGGTGTTCAGCCACCGCCTCCATGATTTCCTGCTCCTCCGACAGGATTGGGAGCTTGAGCCGCTCGGCCTGGGGGAGGGAGGACGCACTGATCAGGGACTGATGGGTGTGCCTGCATGCGTGTGCGCAGAATGGCAGGGGACCCCACAGACACAAAACACAGAGAGCTAGGTGGCACCTAAACGATGGCAGCCATGCTGGGCCCACTGGCACACACCTGTAATCCCAGCACTCAGGAGGCTGAAGCAGGAGGATTGCTGAGAGTTCAAGGCCAGTGTGGGCTACATAGTGAGGCCCTGTCTCAACCAACCAATCAATCAAAAAGGCGGCAGCCAGCTCATGTGCAGTGATCAGAACAGGGGCCTGGACAACAGGGGATGACACTGCTGCCAGCCTAGTCTCCTGCACGCTGACACAGGTACATCTGGCTCCAGGGTGGCCCCACCAGGGAGAGACAGTTACCGGGACCCCACAAGGTGAGGAGAGGATGCAAACCATCCACGACACGAGAACCTGTGTTCTACTGGTGCTGGGATGAATGCGGCCTCACACATTCCAGAGACAGGCTCCAGCTAAGCTCTCTAGGCAGGACTGGAACTTGAGATCCTCCTGCCTCAGCCTCTGCAGCAGCCGGGATGACAGGCCTGCTCCACTGCTTGGAGGGCTGACCAACACTCTTGATCCCAGTGACCAACCTGTATCTCAGGAGTGCGGTGCACGGGGACGAACACTGCAGGCCTCGCGGGAGGTCCAGGCAGGGCCGAGGTAGCAGCTTTCCTGGGAGCTGGGGCTGAGGCTGCAGCGGGCTGGCTGTGGGGCGCCAGGCTCTCGTCCACAGAGGGCACAGCAGGGCCTGGCAGAGGCTGCCCCACACTTGCCGCGTCCCCAGCCCCAGGCAAGTCCAAAGCTGGGGCCTCATCAGGCTCTGAATCCTCCGAGGACTCAGGCTCCTCTGCAGACAGCTGGTGGCAGCACTTGCGGTTGGCCCCACTGAGGCTGTTGATCCTCTCCTGGCCCGGGGTCACCACCTCATCAGGCCTCCTGCCGGGAGAGCAGAAGCCTCAGACATCCCAAGTGGCTCTGTGCTGGCCCTCAGCACAGGTTGGGACCCAGATGTCATGCTCCTCTTACCCCAGGGCCTTTGTACTTGCTGCCCCCGCCGCCCACTTCCTGCAGCCTGCTTTACTCAAATGTCACCTGCCAGGTACTGTCCTTGACCTCACATCCCGAAACCCCTCTCCCCTTCCACTCCTCCACCCCCTGGTCCCTGTACCCCTGAGGTGACTGTGCTGGCCCCTCACCGGGGCTGCTAGGAAGTCTAGATGAGGCCCATGGGGCCCGGAAGCCTCTGAGCCACCCCCACCCCACGAGAGGTCACAGGACCCATGACACGGCCCTGGGGGCTCGGGTGCAGACAATAGGCGACCACTCACTCTCTGGCGTGGTACATGCGGCCCCCAGTGCCCAGCCTGGACGTGGTGTACAGCAGCCTCATCTCGGCCTCTGATGCCTGGACTTCGCTGAGCTTCTGCAGCAGCTCAGTTCGCTGGGGGTGGAAGCGGGGCTGACGTGGGGCCCATGACCCTCCCTTCCACAGGCACCAGATGCTGAGCTCAGAGCCCTTCTGCGTGGAGAGTGCAGCTGCAACCCCACTGCCTGTGTTCTGATACCCAAGGCCCCGCACAGAGCTCGGGTGCAGACCAGGCCCAGGGGCACTGCGTGCTGGTGGAGAGCGGCTGGGGGCAGGCGCCTGGCAGGGGAACCTGAATGCAACGCTGTCTGCTGTCCTGCAGGAGTGCCAACTGCGTTCGTGTGCCCATGACTGTCCCCAAACTGCCTGGCACAATGCAGCGTGTGGGGTGTAAGCCAAGTCACTTTCTTCTCTCTTTTTTTTTGGGGGGGTACTGGGCATCAAGCCCAGGGCCTTTGTACTGAGCTATACCCTCCACCTTTTTCTCAGTGATTTTGAGACAGGGTCTTGCCATGTTGCTAAGCTGGTCAGCCTGGGTTCGAACTTGCGATCCTCCTCCCTCAGCCTCCCGTGTGCGGGAAATACAAGTGTGCACCACCACGCCCGGCCCTTATACAGGTCTTTCAAGGATGCGTTCTTGGTAGAGGGGCTGCACACCCTGCCTATGTGCACAAATCAAACTTGCATCTCGGAGGCCTCTACGTTAGGGTTCCCCAGCCTCAGTGCTGCACCCCTGCGGCTGGGGAGCTTTTCTTCCATGCACTGTGGGTGCTGCTAAGCACCTAAGCACCTTGCCTATGCAATGCCAGTGGCTCCCCACTTGGCTGCAACCAGCAAGTCTGGACAACTCTGTTCTAGACCCAAATACAAGTTCACAGGAGTTCTGAGGGGTGGGGCCGTGTTAGCCTCTGAGACGACACTTGTCAACTGTAGAACTGAGAAACCCAGTGAGACAAACGCTGTTTCTTCATCAGATTTCGTGGGGAGTTAGAAGGACGCATCTATAAGCAGAAATTTGATCATTTACTGGATATGTGATGTTCTTTTTCACATTTGGGCACGTCAAGCAGGCATGGTGATGCACGCCCATTCCTGTAATCCCAGCACTCCGGAGGCTGAGGAGGGAGGATCACCACAAGATCGAGGCCAGCCTGGGCGACACAGTGAGTTTAAGGCCAGCCTGAACTACATAGCGAGACCCTGCACCAGAAAATGAAAAAGGATGCATTGATGGTATTATGGTTATTCAGGAGATGATTATTTTCAATATACAAATTATATGGCTTCTGGATAAGATATTACATCCAACAGACTGTCCCGCAAAAGCTAAGTCTGGGCAGATGTGAGAAGCCCCCCAGATGGGGTCTCGGGGACCATCCTGGGTCCTCTGGTAGGAGACACAGAGAAGGCGCCCAGAAGACCATGGCAGACAGTGACTCGGCCATAAGCCAAGAAGCCTGAGCCAGAGGTGTTGGCAGAGGCAGGGAGGGTGCTGCCCAGAGCCTGGCACGGAAGCAGGGCCTGCCAGCACCTTCTGGACCTCCAACCTCCAGAACCGAGACAGAAGACCCTTGTGTTGCATAGACAGACAGACAGCAGTCACCTGTGATGGTGACCACAGGAAGGAAGCAGGAGATTTACACTGCCTGAGATCTATGTCCAAACCTCTCAGGAGGCAGGACAGTGACCCACAGCTGAGCGTGGGCCAGGGCCAGCAGAAACACTGTTACTGGGACTCAAACATACTGCTCTCTTCTTCACACATCTTTTTCTTGAAATAGGGTCTCACTACACAGTCCAGGCAGATCTTGAACTCCTGAAGATCCTCCTGCCTCGGCCTCCCAAGTGCTGGAATTATAAGTATGCACCACCACACCTGGCCACTTGGGGCATGTTTGAACTTTTCTCCACATTTTTCCTTTAAAGAAAAATATTAAGGAATCCTGCGCTGGGGATTTAGCTCAGTGGCATAGTGCCTGACTTACAAGTGCAAGGTCCTGAGTTCGATCCCCAGTACCATCTCCCCCAAAATTGTCCAGAATAAGATTTTAAAAACATAAAATTATTCGCGGGCATGGTGGTGCACTTGGGAGGCTGAGGCAGGAGGATCGCTGTGAGTTTGAGACCAGCCTGGGCTACACAGTGAGCTCCAGGTCAGCCTCAACTACATAGTGAGACCCTTTCTCAAACAAAACAAAACAAAACAAAAAAAACCACAAAATTATTTTTAAAAAATTGACCATTTGAATTTGCTGACTCCCCAGTAGCAAGCATTTGGCCTCTGCAGACCCAGAAGCATGTGATTGCCAGAGATGAGGCATTCGGACCTGACAGGGCACAAAAGCCTGGGACCCACAGAATTCTACTGGAATTCTAACAACTCATAGTCAAATCGAATTGCAATTCAGCTCCTGCAGTCCATGGCACAGCTGTGCTCACGACGAGTGGCTACTGCACCACAGCGAGCAGGCAGACCATGTCCCTCCTTGGAACGCACCCACAGCAGAGCCCTCAGGCTCACCCCAGCCCACCTGGCTCTTTTTCTCCTTCTGTTCCAAGATCTTCTGCAGCGCCTTTCTCTCCTTCTTAGTCAGAGGCTTTTTCTCCTTTCTGGACAGGGGTGGCACCTTGGTCTTCTTTTTCCTCTTTCCAGGCAGCACAAGTGCATTGCTGGCATCCACCCCTTTCAGCACGTCCTTGTCTGCAAGGACATGCTTGCCTCATCCCCCATCCTGGAGGCCAGGGGCAAGGACCCTGTGCACTGCCATCCTCCCTCCTGCCACTGAGCATGCAAGGAGCACTACTACTCATGCACCCGCATCTCAGCAACTTCTAAGTGTAACAGTTGGAAAGCGCCTGGGCGTGGTGGCACACAAATGTAATCCAACACTCAGGAGGCTGAGTCATGAGGATCGCTGTGAGTTTGAGGCCAGCCTGGGCTACATTGTGAGACTGTCTTAAAAAAAAGCCTAAAAAAATAGCTGGGAAGCCATCAGTGTGGACCGTTTCAGTAAACTTGTCCTCATGCTCTGCTTCAGCCCCCCACACAAGGCTACGTCTGGCTCAGATCAGACACAAGCCCCCCACCTGCCCATGTGAGCGGTGACAGGTCCTGAACACACTGCTCAGCTGTAGGTCTTCGTGTCACACACTGCATGGGGAGACCCAGACCCTAATGAAGAAGACTGAAGCTGAATGTGGTGATGTGCTTGTAATCTCAACACCCAGGTTTTCAGGGCTACCCTGAGCTACTTGATGAGACTCCACCTCCCAACAAGAACACAATGATTCTCTGACTCCCCAGGGGCGAGCACTCACGTCCCTGCAAAGCTAGAAAGAGGTCCTAGGATGAAAACCCTGAGAACATGTGGAGGTGCAACCCAGTCATCCAGCACTTCGGAGGCTGAAGTAGGAGGAATGTTGCTAGTTCGAGACCAGCTTAGGCTATATAGTGAGACTTTGCCTCAAAAAACAAAAGAAAATAAATAAATAATTTTAAAAACCCTAAAGAACCAAAAACACCCTGAAATCATGAAGGTCCAATATAAGAAAAAAGTGGAATACTTGAAACAGATTCAAATTGATATCCAGGAGATTACAAATGCTATTAAAATTATACAGAGTAGACTAACCCAATCTGAAGACAGAATATCAGATATAGAAGATAGGATGGTGGTCAGTGACCAGGAAATGAAAGATCTTTAAAAAATAGCAAGGGACCATGAGAAATCAATCCATCAGCTCCTAGATGATGCAAAGAAGAATAATATGAGTAATAGGAGTCTAACAACAAGCAGGAGAAAGCACAACTAACATAAAAAACTGTTCACAGAATTAATGATAGAAAACTTCCCAAGCAGAGCAAAAGCATTTGACATAAAGATGTGAGGTATATAGGACTCCAAGTAGTTATGATTTAAAAAAAAATCTACACCTAGACATATAATAATCAAGATCCCGGAAACCCAACAGAAGTACAAAATACTATAAGCAGTTAGAGAAAGGAAACAAATCACTTGCAAAGGAAAGCCCATCCAGAATCACAGCAGACTTCTCAACACATACCCGCAAGCATAGCCTGGAGAGAAGTATTTCAAGCTTTAAAAGCAAACAACCTCCAACCTATACTGATGTATCCTGCAAAACTATCTTTCAAAATTGATGGAGAAACAAGATACTTTCATGACAAAGAACACCTGAGAAACTTCACGAATACCAAACCAGCACTCCAAACAATTCTAAACAATATCCTAGAGAAAGACAATGAAGGTCACAACTCCATGAGGCCCAACACAGCAAATCCAATAGGTAAGAATTTAAAGGGACAGGGAGAAAAATAACATGACAATGATAAGTCAATACACATCAGCTATAACTATCAATGTCAATGGCCCCAATTCACCAATCAAAAGAAATAGATTGGCAGAATGAATTAAGAAGCAAAATCCAACAATATGCTGCATATAAGAAACACACCTACTTGAAAAAGAAACTCATAAACTGAAAGTAGAAGGATGAAAAACAGTTCTCCATGAGACAGGAACCTGGAAAAAAGCAGGAGTAGCTTATCTTATTCACAGACAATGTAAATCTCAAGCTACAACTAATTAAGAGAGACAAAGAAGGTCACTGCATCATTGTAAAGGGAACAATCCAAACTCAAAGAGATAACAATCATAAATACATGTGCACCAAACACTAATGTCCCCAACTTTACAAAACAAATATTAAGGGACATAAAACACAAAGTAAGCACTAATACAATTGTAGAGGGGACCTCAATACCCCACTGTCACAAATAGATCATCTAGACTAAAAATCAACAACAAAATACTAGAACTGAACAAAGCTTTTGAACAAATGATTTAATAGATGTCTACAGAGTGTTTCACCCCATAAAATCAGAATCGGCTGCGTAAGGGTCATTTTCCAAAATAGACCACATGCTAGCTCATAGAACATGTAAATGCAAAGGAATTGAAGTTATCCCATATACATTATCAGACCATAATGCAATTAAACTAGAGATGAATAGCATAAGAAACTGTAAGAACTTCACACACATGGAAATTGAATGGCACTCTTCTGAACACTCTTAATGGGTCACAGCAGAAATTAAAGAAGAAACTAGACAGTTCTTAGAATTTAATGACAATGCCAATGCAACATACAGTAATCAATGGGATACAATGAAAGCAGGTTTATGTGGGAAATTCACAGCAGTGAATGCCCACACTATGAAAACAGAGCGAGCTCAAATAAACAACCTAATGGTGAATCTTAAGCTCCTAGAAAAAGAAGAGCAAGACAAACCCAAACTTCATACAAGGGAGGAAATTATAAAGATCAGAGCAGAAATCAGGGCAATGGAGACTAAAAGAATAATACAAAAAAATCAACGAATCGAAGAGTTGGTTTTTCAAAAGAATAAATAAAATAGATAAACACTTAGCCAACTTTATCATAAAAAACAGAAAGAAAAGGCTCAAATTCATGCAATTAGGAATGAAAATGGTGAAGTCACAAACAGATTTAGCAGAAATCCAGAGGATCATTAATACTTCGAGAACCTGTACTCTGATAAAATGGAGAATACAGAAGAAACGGACAGATTTCTAGATACATATGAATTACCAAAGTTGAATGAAGATATAAAAATTCTAAACACTCAAATTACAATCAGTGAAATGGAAAATGTAATTAAAAATTTACCAACAAAGAAAAGCCCAGGTCCTGATGGCTTCACTGCTGAGTTCTACAAGACATTTAGAGAGGAACTACTGCCACTACTCTTTAAACTTTTCAATGAAATTGAAAATGAAGCAATACTTCCAAATTCATTCCTGGAAGCAAGTATTACTTTGATTCCAAAACCAGGGAAAGACCCAACCAAAAAAGAGAACTACAGGCCAATCTCCCTAATGAACACAGATGCAAAAATACTCAATAATATACTGGCAAACAATGTAGCAAATCATCAAGAAGATCATACACCTGACCAAGTCAGATTTATCTCAGGGATGCAAGGATGGTTCAACATATGTAAATCAATACATGTAATACACTATATTAACAGAGCCAAGGACAAAAACCATACGATCATCTCAATAGATGCTGAAAAAGCATT